AAAAAAAACCCGGGACGCCCGGGACAGGACGTGAAATACGGACATGTCCTGGGAAATACGGACGTTTGGTCACCCTAACTAATGTTGTTAATCACTTGCTCATTTTCAAATAGCTTGTGTGCGCAGGTCTTTCAATGCAGCAAACTTCAGTGACTCTGTACAAAAGTTGTACAAAAAAATCTTTAAATCTTTTTTCTAACTATTTGTAAGAAATTCCATTAAGCTAATTTAAAAGAAACATCCTGAGCTAATTTTTCTGTTCCCTATGGTGAACCAGTGAGGTGCACAAACAGAAGCAATGACGACACCTGATAGCTCATTTGCATTTGATGATCCTCTTAGACCCAATACTTAAAGCCCTCGTGCAAGGAGATTTTTCTGAGCAGGCTGTTAAAAGCATGTGACTCATAGAATTTATAGCTTTAAATTGCTGTATTTATTATTACATCTGAGCTCTTTGGGTGGGCACTCCCTAAACATTTTATTGATAGAATTCAGTGTTTGTAGTAAAATTTAAACAGAATGCAGTCTGTGGGAGGTTGCATAATTCAATGTTTTTCTTTGCTTGAAAACAAAAATGTCAAATAACAGCTCTGGGGTTGTTAACATTTTCCAGGAATTGATCAATTTCCGGGCTATGTTACTGCAAATGTTCGTGATTATTTTTCTGTGCATCAATATGCTGCTTATTGTGACCTTTTTCAAAAAAGAGTGTTTCCACACAAGTGCTCGGTATATATTATTTGCTGTTATGCTGCTTTCAGACAGTTTTGTGTTACTCCTATCTGATGTTTTGCTCATCGTAAACTCTCTTGAGTTCACGATACAGGTCTGGTTGTGTACCATTATTTCTGTTGTCACTGTCCTCTATGTTATGGCTACACCTGTGACTCTGACAGCAATGACCCTTGAGCGTTATGTTGCCATTTGCCTACCCCTGCGCCATGGGGAGCTGTGCTCCACACGGCGATCAATGCATTGCATCCTCATCATTCATGGAGTCAGCTCTGTTCCTTGCATCTTGATTCTCACTATGTTCTTTGGAACAGCCTCTTTGGGCCTCTACAAACAAAAGGCTTTATGTTCAGTGGAGGTTTTCCTTTTGCAACCTTGGCAACGTCATTTCAGGTCTGCTGTAAGTCAGTTTTACTTTTTGATCATGTGTATCATCATCATTTTCTGCTACATTCAAATAGTGAGGGTGGCCAAAGCTGCATCAGCTGAGAATAAACAGTCGACAAAGAGAGGACTCAGAACAGTGCTTCTTCACGCCTTCCAGCTGCTGCTCTGTCTCATCCAACTGTGGACCCCCTTTTCTGAAGCTGCTGCACTTAATGTTGATGTTAATTTATTTGTGGACATCAGGTTCTTCAATTACATGATGTTTAATCTTGCTCCAAGATGCTTAAGTCCTCTTATTTATGGACTCAGGGATGAAAAGTTTTTTCTCGCACTCAAAAACGATGTTTGCCTCGGCTACTGTAAAAGATACACAGTCTAAGTTGTCTTAAAAATCCTGTAAAATGTTATTATTATTGTTATTGTTGTTGTTATTATCATTAGTATTGTTAGTATTGTCTAGTGTGCATCTGCCTTTCAACTATAGACTGCTGGAGATAAACACTAGCCCCCACACAGAAGGTTGTGTCTGCAATTGTACAGCAGTTCTTGGGCCCCTTTTTAATGTAGCTGAGATATGCAGCTTTTACTGTATAAATAGGTGTGATTGTTGATGTTCGTGTATAAAGGAAAAAAAATATGTCAATTTACAGTTTACTAACTGTGGACCGTCCAAGCATCAAATGCTCAGAATGAAATAACTTTTTTGAACAATATTTTATTCCTATGTGAACATTATTCTGTCCAACCAGCTAAGGATTTTTTATGGATATAAAAAAGTCTAATTCTCTTTCCGTACAATCTTGAATAATAGGTTATAGTAGAGCCAGCTACATTTATTCAAGTGTGGTTTTTCATTGAGTGTAAATAAATAAATATGTCCACAATGCATTGATTAACTGTAACTGTAATGATTATAATGTTATGATTTTATATACCTTGACCTGAAATGATAATGTGAGCATCTCATAATATATCTTTTAGGAACAAGAAACAGTTTAATCATAGTTTCCCATTGTTATTGTGATAAAATAGGGTATTTAATAAAAAAATCATTGAATAATGTTTTTTTTTTTAGATAAGAAATAGAAATTAAAAAGCATTCCTTGTGCAAGTAAATCATAGGTATGCTTCTGCAGTTTTAAATTGACATCCCCTTGATAAGAGAGATAATTTGTTTAGTTTCAGTGGCTGTCATGGAGTTTATAAACTTTGAAATATTTCAAATTGTACTTGTCTGTAAACATAGGGATATTGTAGCCATCATTGTGGTACTTTCAGGCATATTGTTTAAGGTTAATATTTTGAGTATTCGGAGCTGTGTGACAACTGTAGTTTTTCAAAAATACCTTGGTATAAACTGGTAATATGACCCAAACTAAACTTGCTTCTAGATTAAAGTCCTGACAATAATTTCCTGTATATTTCAGTTTAATTCAAGTGCAACTGCTGTGATTTGATAAACATGCAAAAATGAAATATTTTATGTTGGAACATAAAATATTTCATCAATAAATAAATAATAAATAATTCCTTTTTGCTTGTAAGTCACTGTCATGTCTCGTCTTTTGCTTTTTCCAAAAAAATATGAAAATATCATTGTTTCATGGTAATATGATAAAGCTAGACATATTACAAAAAAGAAAACGAGCAGATTATTGTTTTTTTAACTTTTTTATTTGTTCTTTTTTTTTAAGACATAGCAAAACTGATAAACGTGATAATTAGAAAACACACATGTTAAAGTAAAGCATCAACATCGTTTTTTCTCATACGACTCACAGTCAAGAGCCTTTTTTCTCAATTTCATTAATTGTGGAACATTCACAAATCAAATAAATAGACTTAAAAAGTTATACAGTGGTTAATGCTCTAAAAAGTGCTATTCAGTTATTTCCCTTTAAAATTAGACGGTTTTCACGTTAATATAAATATGCTCAATATATACAATGCTACAGACTCCAGAGAGTAGTTAAAGGGGAGAGGAAACAAACACTGTAGGTATATCAAAATTTCCAAAGGAAATCAATTGCACTTTGACAAGGTTTTCTATTCTGCTTGGCTCAGTCTTCCCGTAGATAAGCCTCATGAACCTCATGCTCGTTGCCGTCCAGAAAAGCATTGTATTCAGCCATTCTCTGGATCTCCTCCACTTTAGTCTCAGCAAGCTTCTTGTCGGCCTCTGCTGACAGTTTTCGTGCCTCCTCCACCTGGGACTGTGCCACCTGAATATTTGTTTGGACCAGGATGGATGCCTGATGAGCTCCTGTAAATACAGTGATCAAGCACAAATATTACTTTCTGAACTGCGCATGTGTATAAAGCTTTTTATACGTATATATATTCAAATCAAGTCAGTTTTAGTACAATGCTCTAATTTTGCACACCTGATGAGTATGCTGCCTCAGCTGCCATTTTTGAGATATTAACAGCATTGATCCAGGTTGAGTCATAATGTTTGCATTCATTGAGTCTCTCAGCAGCCTGTTAGGACACATGCAAAATATAATCAGCATGAAATATGCTCTCTTTTTTAAGAGAGAAAAATCTAATGAAAAAACCGAACAACTTTTTTCAATCTTACCTCTGCACGCCAGCCACTGATTGCCCGCCGGAGGGATTCCTCCTCCGATGGACTCATCTTGCCCAGTGATGCAAGGTATCGTTTTTGAAAAGTGATCCGTGAGTGCACAGCCTTGTGAAGAAAACAACAAAGGAGCGGGTTTAGTATTTTTTCTATAATTTCTTATCTCTTTAAAAATCAAACCCAACAATTTTGTAATGAGTTTTTTTTTCAATTTAAAATGAACATCTACCTTTGAGTAGTCTGTTAGCGCTTCCGTGAGAGCCAAGGTGGCCTGAGAGAGGAAGGTACTCGAGCTGTCGGTCAGCACTGAGGCGGCCCTCCTGATCAGTGAGTTATGGGAAAGATCTTCCACCTGCTGCAATGAGGAAAGGAAAATCAGTTTTAACAAGTTTCTTTATGTGAGGCAAACAACTTTTTAATTGTTACAGTCTTTGAATTGAGTCTTTGACTTACCCAAAGTCCGTGGCCAACACTTAAAGAGGCCAGGCTGATGTGTGTTGGGTTTGTCAGTTCTCCGGGTTTCTGGACTCCAGACCTCCTGTTCTCACAAGTGCTGTAGAAATAAAAGAAAGAAAATAATTATTTAGAGATTAACAGGCATTAACAATAACTAAGCAGTAACTACTGCTTACAGCCTCTTTTAAAACAACGTACCTGAGGTAGCGGATGCTGGATGCACTTCTTCTTTGCAACAGGGATACATCTTGATTTCGTACAAGTCCTCCTACAGCATGTCTTGCACATGCAGAACACTGACGAATGGCTTGCATTTTTGCAAATATTTAGTTTAGCTGCTCTTGCTGGTTATTTTTTAGATTTTTTTTTTAGCTATAACTGCAGAATTTCTGTTTTCAATAAATCCAGATTCCTGCAAACTTACTGAAGATCTGTCTTTGTAGAATGAAGAAAAGAGTCCAGTTTTAAGCCAAAAGTTTGGATTCTGGATGCTTTACCACAAAGTAAAGAGTCTGTTGAATGAATACTGACGGTTGTGTTCTGAGGGTATTTATAAGGCCTGAGCCACTGTATGTTACGCAAAAGGTATATTGATCTGTTGACGCTGCAGGCAAATGACGTATTATCTAAAGTCCTGCTGGTACGTGTGAGATAGTGAGGTTGATGGTGACAGTTTGAACAAGCCAAGTCTATCCTTTGTACCTTATTCTGTGTGTGCCTGCAGGTACTAAACAGTTTAAATGTTGATGTTTGCGTTTACTGGAAAAAAAACATTTACATCAAAATTTAAGATGATTTGATCATGCATTTATTATCATTTTAATTTCTTATTCTCTGAAAGACACTCTATGTTAAGTTTGATGTTCAGTCAAATATGTCCTGTTCATGTTGTTCAGATTTTAGTGAAGCTCCACTGATTTTATTAAATCTGTGGTATATAAACAGTAAAAAAAGCTGAGTGCTTATCTTTTTTTTTTATTTTCAGGAATGATGCAGTTCCAGAACCTGTTTCACTTTTTATTGCTTATTTTGGGGCAAAAATGTCCTCAGTCTGCTCCTGTCGTGCCAGCTAAAGAACGTTCTGTTATTTGCATCCAAATAGGACTATAGGTTGCCCATGTCTTCCCACAGTGACATTATTCTATGTTTAAAACATGCAAAATGAAAACATCTCTGGCTTGCTGCTGGAAACACTTGTTATCTTACTGTATGGTAAATAGCTCTGATGTTATAATAACTGGGTAAAACAATTGATATTCTGTAAGGTAATATACCTTCCTGCTAATGAATGCAAATATCAATTGTTACAACAGAAGATGGGAATTAATCTGAAATAGTTTGAGAACCAACCTCAATCCCAATTCTTCTGCAGTTCATGCAAAATGCTGGTGACGTATTTCTCTTCTTTAAATAAGTCTAATCAGGTAACTTCTCCACTTCAGTACAATGCAACAAAATATTATGAGTAGGTCTGAACATTTCCATATTGTACTGCTTGATATCTATGTTATTTTTTATTTGTTTTAAGAAAGGCCTTACAGAGTCTGCAGCTCTCTTCTGCTCATTCTTGCAGCCCGCACTGGTACTTGAGAAGTTTATTTATTTATTATTTTTTTTCAGCTTACCGGTACATGAAATTGACATTGGTATCTGAGTTAAGCTGGATGCTACTGAGTATCCACAAAATCTATCTTAAAAACTAAAATAGCACTCAGAGAGCGCAGAACTCTGCCTAGCAGCAAATTTTGCCCCATATTGTGAGTTACACCTATAGATGAAACTCGCACATGATCTGGATGATTACATATTTCAATGAATTATTCCTTGGCATTTGGTGCACCTTTGGTAACAATTTCCTTAAAATTCATTCAAAGTTTATAAATAAGGCACTACGTGTGTCTGCAGCCTCTGGTGTCTGTTCTGCTCTCAACCTTTTTCATTCACTCTGCTTTCTTGTTTGATCAGCAGATCAACCCTTGGCTCACTTTTCCTGTGTTTTTGTCTTCAGTCTAATAATTCAGTATAATGCCGAAGCTGTCAATAGTCACTGCTGCCACTCTCTGGTTTTAGGGCGAAGCTACTTGTTCTGCAAAAAAAATTCAAAGAATCCCATTTGGGGTTTCAGTTATGCTTTGATTTATTTTGTTATTTCTGTGTTTGCTGTTAATATTATTTGAATTTTACTCTTCCCCCCTCTTTTCCCCTTAGCTCCCATCTAGCTGCTCCTTTCCAAACCTGCTCCCAATTAGCTAACTACTCCATTCATTGTTTTGTTTCCCATATATACTCATCTTCTGCAGTTCCTCATTTCTAGATTATCTTAATTCCTCTTGTATGTTTCTCCTGAGTATCTCTTTGTTTTGGTTCTTTAGTTTTCTGCCTGTTTTTTTTACTGCAACCTACTTTATCATTAAATCTGCAAAAAACCATTGCTACCTTCCATCTCTGCGTTTGAGTCCTTTATGAACCTCCACACATCCTGACAGTCTAATCCAGCCACCATGGACCCAGCAAAGCACAGCCTGGAAGATAACAAAATAAACCTCTTTTTTCCTCAGCCCGCCCTGGAGGAGGATCAGGGCAGTTGCCCAAATGAAGGATATTTTTCTTCAAAACTCCACACTCCTTCATACCCTATAAATAACTGGACTATATGAGGAGAGTTGGAATGGAACCTTCAACCTGCCTTCGCCCAACTCTTCAACAAATCTCCACCGTTCAGACCACAATTGGCCTATCTTTCTGTTCCTCCTTCTGTCACCTCGGTCTCAGGTGTTTCTGCTGCTGCTTCACCTGCTGCAAAATTGCCATTGCCCCTGTCTCCTCCATGTGGAGGCATCGCCGGCCTCCAGAGACTTTGCTTGGTCATCACCTCCTAGAGACTCTGCTTCGCCCCCTAGAGACTCCGCTTTGTAGCCGGCCACCTTTGTTGGGTTGTTTTAGTTGTGATTTTTTTTTGTTTTGTTTTTGGTTGTTTGGTCCTTGCCGCCATTCCTTGATCACCTTCCTTCCACCCTGCGTGGGTTGTTTTGTTTGGACTCTGGTGTTTGGTTTTTTTGTTTCATTGCTGGATTCTATTAATTCCTACAGGACATGTTTCTACCACATGTCTCCTAGTTTTAGTTACCGAGTTCTCTGTATGTTATTTCTGGATTTATGCTTCTTTTGCAACCTACCTCATCATTAAATATGCAAGAAACTATCAACTATCTCTGCCTTGGTCTCTGCATTTGGGTCATACAAACCTCCACATATCCTGACATGGACTGAGCTGCACCTTTAGTAAAAATTTTACCAAAATCAGTTCATTTTCAAGTCATCCTGTACATAACAAAAACAAACACACACACACACACACACACACACACACACACACACACACACACACACACACACACACACACAACCTCTACTAAAAACATATGCTCCTTACTGAGGTAATAAATTTGATCATTTACTAGGTCAGACCCATTTACCATGACAGGCTCGCATCCACTGATCAGCGCGTGAACTTCTAATCCTACGTAAAAATTGTAAAATAGACCAAAGGCTTACAGATGCATGGGAACGTTTTAGTCATAAAGAGTCAAATAAAAAGGCTATTTTAAAGATACTTTGGTAAAAACTTGGATAATGTTCAAGCAAAAATGTTTCCTATAACACTCATACAATGCTTTGTGTAAAAGCAAAGTGTACGGTCATGGGAAATTGTACAGGTATAGTTATCTGTCCTGCAAGGACATCTGTGTGGGCCTATGGGATACTGTGGGTTTTGCTTGAAGCTATGTTCTAGTTCACAGGTAGGAAACATTGGTCGTTGAGTGCCACTTTGCTGTAACTTTTGCATGTATCCCATGTTCAGCACACCTGAAAAAGATGAATGATTGATGGCCAGGCCTCTGCTAACTTCTTGAAATCCTAAGGAGGTAATGTGGCCCTCTGTTTCAGGCATGTTGGAGCACGGATGCATGCAAAAGCTGCAGGACAGTGACCCTCGAGGAAGGACATTGCCTTCCCCTGTTCTATTTCATACGCATATTTGAGATAATCCACACAGGCCTTGTATATAGAAGGCCAAAACAGAACCACAATAGGCTGCCTAACAGGCTTAGGTTCAGTTGCAAATCGGTTAGGTATGGAGCTCACAGCTAATGCCCCATTTCGACCTCAGCAAGCTGATTAATGCTGAGGACTCAGGTATCGATGAAAATTTTCAGGCAAATATGGTTCTCACAATTCTGGTTAAGACATTTTTAAAGTATGACTTATTGCATTGTAACTATGGGGCAACCAATAGTGCTATTTAGGGCTTACGTCCATCCATGACCATCCATTCATATATGCATTCCGTTAACCAAGCTGTAAGTGTGCTAGAAAGTGCATAATTCAGGGAGCTATTTTATAATTCAAATTAAGAAACCAGTTTGATCAGGAGTGACTAGCTGCAATGTGGATAAAAAAAGTCTTTGCAGATTCCCCACCTTGCTCAGCCAAGTCTGGATCTTAAATTAAACTGGAATGAGAATGGATCACCTTTATTAAATTTTTAGACCCTATTAGTATGCATGTCCATCCTGCGTTCTGCAAAGGTGTTGCTGAACCATGTAAATTTCACTTTTTTCTATATCAACTTGAAAATATCAGGATTTGTTTACCTTTTTTTCTGGGTCATTTAATATTTAACCAGGAACCATTTTGCTTTGAGAAGGAATAACTCTGGCTTATGGCCAAAAAATAGGTCAGCTAGAGAGTTTGCTTTGGAAAGAGTTCAGCTCAACCCTTGTCCAACCTTTTTACTGACGCAGAATTTACGTAAAGAGCTGACGAAACCCAGCAAGCTGCTCTCTACACACTCTGCTTGTTTGCCGAACAGATTAAACTTACGGTTGCAACAATTGATGCAGACATTCTTGTTAATAATTGGCCTAATCTCAATTAAAATCCACTCTTAAACTGTGGTGTATACAAAAACTGGTTTTACATTCTATAGTTTGGACCTTTCTTTGCTGATTGAATCATCTGTTTTCAAACCTGGAACCCTGAGCAGCGATCTCTGACCTCAGTATTGTTGTGAAAGTTGGTGACACTGGAAAATTGTCAAAATAGATAAACCAGGGCATAAAATGTACCACCTGTTTTTGTCAGACCTATGTTTTTCAAAATGTTTTTACCTTTTCCCCTTTAATCTGGAGATGCCCTGGTATAAGATTAGGACCTAATGTCCCGATCACAGCCTTTATGGAACATATAAGATTAGATGTGTTATGTTAAAATAAAGTTTATTCAGACGACAGCTCTCAGAGAGATCCATGGAAGGTTATTTGATGCTTGAAGCTCTGACAGCATTAGAGAAAAAAGAGGCAACATTTAGAATTTTTATATTATGTAAGATCCAATTATATTTTTCAAGTTTTTATTCTATAAAAATGAATACTTTATTGCAAAAGCAAGAGTATAGAAAAACAACAAATCACACCTTAGAGTCTCCTCCATCAGTCTAAACTCCATCTTAGCATTTTCTCATGAAACAATGTTGGGAGAAAACTGATAACTGAAACACAGGCTGAAAAAAGGAAACAAGTAGCGATAACAAAAAGTGCCGAAGGGGGGAAAACCCAGAGAAGGAAGCTGCATATTGACAACCATGATTCTAAAGAAACTTTAAAAAAGCATCAATCTAAATTTGCCTATCCAGGTTTACAAGCATCTTTATGGGGAATTTTGACCAGTCTTCCAAAGCCCTGTTTACACAGCAATATTTCAAAATTGTTTCATGGAGGAATAATGATGAGTACTATACCAAGAACACCTTCCCTACTGGGAAGCATGGGGGTGGTAGCTTCATGCTTTGGGGATGTTTTTCTGCACATGGGACAGGATTACTGCACTGGAGAAGATGACCGGGGCCATGCGTTGTGAGATTTTGGGGAATAACTCCCTTCCCTCCGTTAGAGCATTGAAGATGGGTGGAGGCTGGGTCTTCCAACATGAAAATGACAGGAAGCACACAGCCAGGATAACCAAGGAGGGGCTCGGTAAGAAGAATATCAACCAGTCTCCAGACCTAAATCTACACATTAAAACCCTATAGAGAATCTTTGGTGGGAGCTCAAACTCCATGTTTTTCAGAAACCTGACTAATCTAGAGACGATCTGTGTGGAGGAGTGGGCCAAAATTCCTCCTGCAAACCTGGTGTGTGCAAACCTGGTGAAAAACTACATGAAACATTTTACCTCTATAATTGCAAACAAAGGGTACCAAATATTAACATTGATTTTCTCAGGTGTTCAAATACTTATTTGCAGCTGTATCATACAAATAAGTAAAAAGAATTATATACTGTGATTTCTGGATTTTCTTTTTTAACATTATGTCTCTCACAGTGGACATGCCCCTATGATGACAATTTCAGACCCCTCCATTATTTCTAAATGTGAGAATTTGCAAAAGAGCAAGGTGTTCAAGTTCTTATTTTTGTCACTGTATCTGTAAGACACTAATTAGTATTTCATATTCTGATTCGGATATTGATTTATGATAATAATGTTGTTTTTGCCTATATGAAATTTATTTTGAATCACAGAACTATCCATAAAACTAAAAAAAAATCCAAACCTACAAACCTACAAAACCGACCTTCCCTCACAAAAATGTCAACAATGCAGTATTGTAACTACACTGCTCCACACATCCTAAATATGCCTTGAAGAGCTGAACATAACCAGCACCAACAAGGCACTAGGCAGTGCTTTGGTGTTTACACAGACCTCAGAAAAATAGAGCAGTGTGATCCAGTTCCTGCTGCTCATCAACTGGACAGACCAGATACTGATAACACCTTGGTAGTATGAAAAAAATGAAGCAAAGTGGCATAGCACAATGGAAATGAACAACTGATAGTTAAAACACCTAAAAAAATAGGTTGTTTGGAAATTGTTCTTAATGCCAGCAGAACTACAAAGCTCTGATTATTATCAATAAAAAATGTCTAAATTGCTAACTATAAGTATTACTCTACTGTATTTTGATCATTCATGATTTTTAGAAACATTTGTAGGATTCTGTTGTTTTTTATGCAGACTAAAATTATCCCAATCAACAAAGTTGTAGATTAATTTAATGCTATTAAAGTCTAGAAATTTTCAATTATTTTCAAAACTCCAACTAGACAGATTTCTGTGCTCTTCATCTCTTTTGGGGCTCCACTCAGTGCAGCAAAACTGAAGTAGAAACACGATAATTTGACCTGCAAAATGACCCAAATTCCACATCCATAGCTGCTTTACTCTTCAGGTTTTTACAGTGTTAATCTTGAAACAATAGCTGAACAAAGTCAAAAGATTACGTAGTCCAAAAAAATCTCTGTAAGGAGATAATTCAATGAAAAGCTTTGGAGGCCATCATCTGTTCGCGAAATGGGAACTTTTGTCAGCAGCGAACTGAACACTGAAATCCCTCTTGATGAGCGAGGAAATGGAAAGCAGGTTAAAATCTGTCATTTGTTTCCTGTATTTTTGATTTTCTAAACATATTTACTCATATTTGTTATATGTTGTTGGATCCCTATCCTAAATAGCTAATTTAATTCAAGAAATTAGAGTATCATTCAACAGTATTTTTTTTCCTTAATTTAAATCCCTAAAGGAAACAAAATGTATACAAGAAGTACACACAAACTGATATTTTTAGGCCCTTTTTCTCTTCAAACGTATGATTGACTGCTAAAAGCCCATTGAAAACTAGAATATATATCAGAACAAGAAAAACAAAAATGTAATAATTAAATTGTGGCCTTAATAAAAATTAAGTCTGCTTTTAAGCTAATGAAAAAACTTTCTTCTTTCATTTGCTATATTATGATTTTTAATAAGTACATAAAGAATATTACGTTTTCCCCCCCCATGCCTGTGCTAAATGCACCTATTCCACTGCAGTTTTCCATGACAGGTTCAAGTGTCTATATTACCCACTAAGGCAGGGCTGGGAGGCTGCAAGGTTTCTGCAAGGTTTCGATTAGTCTCTAGTTTAACACACCCAGCTATACAGCCGTCCAGTTAATTCAATTATTTGATTGAGGTGTGAAGGGAAAGTTTTACTCTGTCCTACCTTGTCTTACCATGGCTTTTTGTGATTGTTTTCCACTGGTTTCTCCATTGTTCTGGTTTTATTTTACATTTTTTCATGTTGGATTTTTTTTTTTTTTTTTGGATTCCTACCTCTGTTACCTGTGTTCACTTATTAAAACTGCAAGAAATCACCTCTGCCTCTGCATTTGGGTCCTCTAATCTCAACCAAACCCTGACACTATGTTCATGTTTATTTGCAAAATTTTAATACTTTAGTGTAATTCTTTATCGTTATGTAATATTTAGTGTAAAACTCTCTTAGTTCTGCACTCTATGGATTAAAACCTTGCTACTGCAGTGGAATTTTCCTGCTGATTACCTCAACCAAAGAGGCTGTGTTTTTAGGAGAGTTTGTGTGTTTCTCTGTCTGTCTGTATACAGGATAACTTGATCTTAACAAAACATTTTACCAAAAGTGAATCTTGGTCTGAGGAACAATTTGTTAAAATTGTGTTATGATCCAGATCATGTGCGGGTGTTAGCTGTAGCTTTAAGTGACAATATGGGGCGAAAGTGTGCTGCTTCTACGCTCTCAGAGTTTTTCTAGTTTAAAACAATTCTAGAGCCACTAACATGACAAAAACACTGTTTTACTTGGTAATTTTATTTCCATCATCTTGTGGACTTCCTGCCTTAACAGATTGGGGCTTTTTTGGGAAGCAAATGGTAAACCAAAAAATATATCATTTAGGTCATAATCAGTTTTATTAGAGTACCTTTTACAAGACAGTACAGGAACTTGTGACCCTGTTCCAAAAGTGTTCACTCAGCTGAAACAGCATTTCATCACAATCAATATGATGACTCCCCTTGCTGCTGGGAGAGGCCCAGCTGCTCAAACACTTCCTAAAGGGATAACTGATTGTCCAGTCAGTGAAACTTTGCCACCTCTTCAGCTTGCCTCATTTTCCGTGATGTTCTCCATCAGAGGTTCATGTACTGTTGACTTTGATCAAGCCATAATAACATCGGTAGGTTTAAACATATAGCTGAAGATAGCAATGTTATAATCTTGAAGGAAAAACTGTTGCCATTTTCTGAAAAATTGATAAATTCATATGTAATGTGTATATTTTAGGGGAATCAAGTAATGCTTGGATTTTCTCTTAATATGTATTTATCTTTTGGATCATTCATGATTTTAAATGCGTGAAAAAAGTCTTTTGAAATGTCTTCTTGCTTTATTTTCTATATTTCCACAAAACTCTAATCAATAGTCTTTGGGTCAAACTCATTTTAGAAGTGATGTATTATTTTTCATGTGCTGCTGTAGGACTGTTTCCTTGGAGAAGATCTGAGGTTGAAACCCTGGCATGGGGTCTTTTTTTGTCTGAGTACTCCAACTTCCTGTGGATGTGAGGTTGATCAGTCTATCTAAGTTGGATTTAGATGTGTTTTTCTCTCCTGTGTGTCACCCTACATTGAACTGGTAACCTGTACAGGTTTAACTCCCTCTCGCCTAGAGACTGCTGAAAGTAGGTATCGGCTGCCTGGTGGACAATAAAATATAAAAGCAAAGAAAATTGATTATTTTGTTTTTCCTTTAATGTTATATTTCATATTAACCACATTAAAACGTCTTAATGCTTGTGGTTGAAATGTGACAAATTAAATTTTATAAAGCTTAAAGGCTATATGTGCTTTTTTGGCATAATGCATTTTGGCTAAAATCCCTTTCAGAACATCACCCATGTCATTTTAACAGAGACTATTAACAGAGAACATGAGAAGGTCCTTTTTGTTTAGTTCTATTATCTGGAAAGTTTCACTTTTATAAAATGCTTTATGAACCTTTGTTGTTTGCCTTCCTCCCCTCTGAAATCCGTCGTTAATGAGAATCATATGACTTGACGCTGACGATGGCGCTGCGTCTCTGGAGAAACAAGGTGCAGCTTTACATTCTGGAATGTGACCAGAATATATCATTTAAGGAGGAGATTCTTCCTGAAACCTTTCTCACCAAAGCGATGACGAAAAGTAGAGAAATTAGTAGAAAAAAAATGAACTCCTCTGGCTGATTAGGGCATTGTTAGGTGAGTAAAGTTGAGTGTATATGAAAATGTTGAGCAGACATAGATTGTTTTCTGGTTTCTTTCACTGTTTTTTTTTTTTTTTTATTGAAATTTCAAATGTGTTTTTCTTGAACAGGCATGCTCTATTCACAGCTGCAAAATGCAGAATCTGACTGAGCTTTCTCCCAATGCAACTTCTCCAAAAAGCTTCTCTGTGATTATAAAGGTCTGTGTGGTGATCCCATTTTTCTGCATCTTTCTGTGCTGCATTGCTGTCATGCTACAGATCTTTGCCTCTCAGAGGCAGTTTTTGGACATTTCACGTTACATCCTATTTGCACACATGTTGATCAATGACACTCTTCAGATCCTGTCCTCTGTGCTGCTCTTCCTCTTTGTGATGGGTCAGGTGAAGTTTCCCCTCCTGTTCTGTGTCCCTCTGCTCTTTGTGTCCACCGGTACCTTTCAAAACACCACCCTGATATTGGCGGCCATGTCTCTGGAGCGTTACGTTGCCATTTTCTACCCCCTGCACCGCCCGACCTCCTGGCGTTCTGACCGTATCTGGATAATTATTCTGCCTCTGTGGTTCATCAGCTTCTTATTCCCCATCATCGAGTTTTTTATCGAGAAACACAATCCAGCTTTAGATATCTTGTCTTCCAACATGCTTTGCAAAGCTACTGTTATTAACTCATCCCCGATCCAGGGACTGTACCGGCTTGCCGTGAATGTGCTTTTCTTCACAGTGGTTGGTGTTATCATCCTCTTCACCTATGTGAGGATTTTGCTGGAAACCAGGAAACTGAGACAGGACAGAGCATCAGTAAGCAAAGCCATGCACACTGTGTTACTGCATGGCTTCCAGCTGCTCCTATGCATGTTGGCTTTTACCAGTCCCATTTCTGAAACTCTCGTGCTGCACAAAAAATGGCCGGCTGAGGATGTAGCCTTTTTTAATTTCTTCTGCTTCATGTTGATGCCTCGCTTTCTCAGCCCACTTATTTATGGTTTCAGGGATCAGAGTCTGAGGAAGCACATTGGGAAAATGTTCCACTGCTACGCACATAAAAATGACACCCTTTTCAAATACTGATTTTGCCTTCAATTACAATTGAACTGTCAGAGAAATAATATATTTTAGTTATGTGCAAACATAGTATGAGCAGGTCCTCAAGTATGAGTGCTGTCAAACAACTTTATTTGAAAAGATCAATCAATAAAAATAGGAATACTAAGAATGTTTAAATAATGGAGGATTTTATGTTCTGCTCTTGGGGGTTAGCAGGGTTTCCTAAGCACCTAACAGTAAAATACATTTCTTTTTTATAGGAAATAACTTATAACATACATGTCATAAAATATCTGGCAAGATTTCAATCTGTTTTCCAGGCTTGCAAAAGGTACAGTTAAGATTTAATCAGCAAACTTGTTTTTGAGACGTTTTCTCCAAACTCGACTCCTATGCAGAAGCTGACTGATGAAGCTAAAGAAAAATAAGGAAATTAAAAGTCATGCGTTGTTAAAAGTCACAAGAACTTAAATAAATGATTTTGTTGTATGTTGCGATCTCACAGCATTGACATGTTTTCAACTCGAACATAGTTATATTGTCCAAACCTATTTGAGAATTGAAAATACAACCTTTTTTGATAAATAAGTAAACATATGTAATTCTATCATACCAAATACTAAAAATTCAAATTTCTGTTTTTGTTATCAAATGATGCTTTAGTCCTATACCTGTTATAATGCTTTAAAATCAACAAGCCCTTGTTGTTTAGAAAACCTGAAGAATTGTGTGATTTTTCATAAATGATTCTCCATTTCTGTTCTCCTTCTCACTGTACACCAACTCATTTACTTTAGAAAATGTTTTTTTCCTTTGCATTGTTTCTATATTTGTTTTTGAGGAAAGCCCAATTTGTGCAGACAAGATCAACAATGTTTGCAGGTCAGTGTCTGTTAACCATAAACCAAACGGAGGCGGTGTATCTACGTAGACATTTCTCAATGGTAGATCTGTCTGTCCTCTCACCTTTTATCAGTCAACAAATGAAGGGCTGAAGGTGCAGAATTGTTTGTCAACTGTGTAAATCAGTTAGAGAACAGTAAATAAAAAGATTTTAAATCTATAATCTACTTAAAAGACTTACAACACATTTTCCAGCTTTCCTTAACAAATACAGTTCATTGCTTATAACAAACTAATACTTTCAAAGAACAAGAATTGGATTCTTATTCTAAATTTAAGTGAATCCCATAATTCAGTCAGTAGATATACTTTGTGAAACTTGAAGGAATGAGAAGGTTATTCATTCCTTTGAATCAGGTGATGGACTTAATGCACACAAAAGGCTCCAGGAAATCTGTCTCCCAGGACTATGGTTTGACCGCCAACCATAATTTGTAAATCTGTTGGATATTTGACTTCTGCAAAATGTGTATATTTTTCCAACAGTTTCTTGCATCAATCAAGCTTTTAGCTACTTCTTATGAATTTTCAATTGTCCTGACTTTTTACAGCAATTTGCAAAAGAATTCAAAGGTAGTAGTTTTCCATTATTCTATACACCTTGTGCAATTCACCCATACTACTACATAGCAGATAAAAGCCCCTCTTGATGCCCCCCCCCCCATGCATATCAGATGGTACATTGTTCCTTGTTTGGAAACCCAACCTTTACTCCAAATAAATCCACATCTCCTATCACAATAAAAGTTTTCCTTTGAAGGCATTATGCTTCCCTGAGGGGCTGCTGTACATTTCCATCCAGTTTTAAGCTTGCCAGCTGGTGCTTTTTTGATAGTCATCTCAGTCCAGGTTGATTCTTCATGTTTTTTCAGGATTTTTGTAATGCATGGTTGTAAGGCGGACAAAGATTAAAGCAATGGCTGCAATTCTACAGTCAAGGTGCAAGGGACTAGATGTATGTATGAATTTGAGCCTCTATATAATGTTGTGAATTAGAGTTAAAAATGTAAATCTTTTCAGTTCTATTCTAAAAAAAATAAAAATAAAAATTTACAGCTGTATTTTGTACAGTCTATCATTTGTAGCCCAAAATGAGTAAGAATTGAACTGTCAGTTAGTTTGTAAAACCTTCAATGGACGTTGATGTAAATATCATTTAATTCTGTACTTTACATAACTGTTAAATGTTAAAACGATTAAGCAATTGCCTTGATACTGTTAAATCTGTAGTCTTATGAGGTCCTTTACAAAAAAATTGTTTGATGTAAAATAAATATGGCATTAAAAATATATCAGACAGCAAATGCTCAATGGGAAGTGCATCATGTCCTAAATACATTGTTTCAGGCACTCAGCCATTCTTTTCTTTTTCAGATGTTTCTTATCAAATGTTCATTTTAAGTGTTATGATTAACCTCCTTGTATCTACTGCAGCATAAAAACACCAACTTGAAGTACCAACTTGACCTCTTTACTCAAGTAAAAGTGAAAAAGTATGTCCTCCAAAAACTACTTAAAGTATAAAAGTATAAAGTAACCTTTAAGAAAAAACAGCCAGATGTCACTATATAAATTGAAAGCCTAATTTTTCGACTATTTTGAAAAAATTCTTGGAGATAGGGTCATGGATGAGGGAGGTCTTTTTGGTACGATACGCTCTCGCCTGTGTCCGACCTTTCAGACATTTCAACATCTTTTTCTGAATCAAACATTGTAGCATGGCATAGACAATTCACATTTACAGTTTGAAGAACACCTGCTTGCTTCTGATGAGTTCCTTTAGCTAACCAATGAGTGTTTGCGTTATATGACTCATCCAGTTACACTAGTTTTCACTAGTTTCCAATGATCTCCATTGGATGCCGCACATGGCATGAAACAAATATTTATAAACATTTAACCGAAGCCAAGAGTAACGAGTAACATTTGTTTTAAAAATGTATTTATTTATTTAATATTTCTGTGAAAATGTAATGAGCAGAAGTCAGAAGTATAGTACAGTAACAAATTATTTGTACTTTGTTACTTGACACCTCTGGAAAAGACAAACCTTTCTTTTTTGTTATTCAGCAGAGAAATATTGTAACAGCTACAAATTAAGTAAAGTTTTAGAGACAAATGTTACTTAGGGTGTATTAGTACACAAATATTTTCACAATGAACTTATGGCATGATGTAAATGTACTGATGCAAATCCCTAAATTAAAGACAATAGTGGAAAACATAATGGCAAAACACAAATTATGGCCTGTGACTTTGACCAGTCAAGTAAAAGGTGACAGACAGAGAGACAGACACATTCCTTCATTAAAAAGAATTTAAAAAAGAAAAGCTGGTGTCAGTTTTTTTACTTGTAATTTCACCAGTAGATGGCGCTGCTAGACAAATACTTGAGAGAATGCGCCCTTGCGTTTTAAGTCACAACTCATGCGCAATAAATTCACGGTTTATAATAATAAGGTTTAAAAATCTTCAAATAAAGGCGTATAACTAATATGTATATCTTATCAGAAAAATATTTTACATAATCATCCTATTGGATCTGCTTATTGAGGCTGCAGATGAGAACCCAGAGATCAAACTGTGGATCTTTAGACGGGAGCAGAAACGCTCAGATGAAGTGTGGAAGCAGCGCATCCGATGATAAACTAGGCTGCAGAGGATGAAGGCTGTTTTCTTTTTCTCCTGTTGTTTTCTGACCACGGCTCTGGCTTCCATCGCAGCTGGAGAAATATTTACGTCGCTCCAAAACGTGAGGCAAGCCATCCTCGTTGAAAGGAAACTGATCGGTTATCTGAGAACTTATATCGACAGCGAGTTGGAGAGACTAAGGGACATCAGGCGGTGAGTGATGGGGAAACTGGACATCAGACTGGAACATAATAACACATTTCAGATGGATGATGGAGGAGAGATCTCCATTTATTTCAAGTCATCTCAGTCATCCTAAAGTTTGAATTGTTATTAAATTATGATGTTGACCTAATAAAGCTTGGCCTGTGACCTCATCTTTGGATACAGAGTTATACAAGGGCTTAAGAAGAAGAACAAAAAACTTTCCTTATTCCCTTTTAAGGAAGTAATCCAGCTGTCTGGAAATCTGCTTTGCTCAAAATACCGACTGCTTTTCTGCTCACTGTCTGTCTAGACCCTGCAAATGATCTAGTGCTGCCTTATCTCTATTAGTGTCAGTTTTCTGGTTTGACATTTTGTTTAAATTTTTAATTCAGTGTATTTATATAGCGCTAATTCACAACACATGTCATCTCAAGGCACTTTACAGTTCACCAGAACATCAAATTGATTTAAAGTTTTCTAAAACCAGTTGATTGCATCTCACACTAAGCATGCTTGTAGCAATAGTGGAGAGGAAAAACTCCCTTTTAACAGGAAGAAACCTCCAGCAGAACCAGGCTCAGTGTGAGCGGCCATCTGCCGAGGCAGACTGGGGTTCAAGGAGGCAGAAGCAGAGATACAAAAAGCAGCACATCCAGCCAGTCATGGTCAGAGAAACAGGACTAAACTGGAAAACAGGCCGATCTCCAACATCTATAAACAAAGGTGTTGAGGGCAGCCGCACAGCTGATGTTTCCCTCAAGGATGGTGTCACAGCCATACAGGAAGAGATGAGGCGAAGCTACTATAAGAAAAGGCAGAGAGAGCAGAACGTTAGAGATTGAACTAAAAGATTCTACAGAGTGGACGAATAGAGATAGAATGAAGCAAAATTATGAAATAAGGGTCCTTATATCCTCCAGAAGTTGTAGCCTATAGCAGCATAAAGTTTGAAGATAAAGGTTTTAAATAATGATAAAAACATTATAATTCAACTTAACAGCAACAGTTTCCACATGCCTTATTTAGCTTGTCTTTTTCATTGAATTGTATGCCCCTTGTATAATTTCATTTTAGTTTGTTACATTAAAACTCCCATTACTGCAATACCTCTAAAGACTCTATAAGTCTCCTAATTAATAAGTGAGGTCCTTTATACTTCAAAATTAAATACAGATGTTCGTTAAAGCCCTCTGAGGTTTGTGAAAGTGAACTGCATCAAACAGGTCATTAAAGCTACTGAGAAGTTTAAAGGAAGCTTTAAAATTCCACAGCTCAGGTGTGAAAATCTTCTGAAAGCTGCAACATTCTCTATCTCTTCTTTTACGGAAGAGTGGCACACAAAGAATTCATGTTGAAAGAACGCGTTAAGAAGTAGAATTTAAAGCTTGAAACAAGCTGTGAACGAGACACAGCAAACATGTGACCGAACCTACATGCATGTAAAGAAACTAAAACTGAAAACTCTAAGCACAATAATCTAGACTAAAATGTGGTGGTGGCATCATAATGCTGTGGGGATACTTGTTAACATTTAGGGAATTTAAGTAAATCAGAGTTGAAGAAAATATGGAAGGAGTGAAAGAGTGACAATCCTGGAAGAAAACGTGTAAAAGGCTCCAAAAACGTTAGAGTGGGGTGGAGTTTCAGCCAGGGCGACAGCAGGGTGGTTTTAATTAAAACACATTCATCTGTCAAAATGCTCCAGCCTTAAATTGAATTAAGAATATTTAACAAGATTTAAAAATGTGCTTTTCCCAAATGGTATTCACACAGTTGGATTGAATTTGAACTATCAAGTTTAAAGAACAACAGTCAATAAATACTTTAATTAATCCTTTATTATAGCAGAATCTAATTCTTTAGAAATGATCCTGTCGGGGAGGCAGGATACAAATCAAAGCCACACTTTTAATTGTTTTTTCAGAGTAAAATGTTTCAGAATCATGTATTATTTAATTTCTTCTTCACAATATGTTACATTCTTTTTGGTATATGAAGAAAAATGGCAATAAAATTTGTTAAACCTTGTGTCTATAACCAGATATAATTAGAAAAAGTGTCTGGAAGGCACTGGTTATTGTCCATTTCCAGCATGTCCTGTGTTATACTCTCCAATCTAATGAAGACCATATGCCAGCACCTACTCTGACTCAATCTCATCTTTCACTCAGGTTTTATGCCAAAGTTTCTGACCTGCACGCAGAACTCTACAAAGGCCCTGCAGCTGCAACAGCAAACCCACTGGTTGCCTTCACCCTGGTCAAACGGCTACATTCAGAATGGCTGAACATCGTTTACAGCAATGAAGCTCAGGAAAACACTCAAAGTGGGCTCTCTTTTTCTACTTCCTGGTGACATCAGGCTGATATCTGAGGCTTATTGCTCCTCTGATCTCACACAAACAAACCTCAACCTTCAATACTCCTCTGTTTAGCCCTCAGGTCCAAATATGAGGAAGAGGAGGCCGACCTGCCCAAAGTCGAAGACCTTCGAGGGGCTGCAAGGGGGCTGATGAGGCTCCAGGATGTGTATTCTCTGCAGGTTTCAAGTCTTGTAAAGGGTCGTTTCCAAAGGGTTACCAATGGAGGTGTGATTGACGTGTGCTCTCCTGCTGTGTCTGTCTCCCTCACGGGTGACGACTGCTTTCTGGTTGGAAAGGTGAACTTCTAACATTTCTTTTATTCATCACCCAGAGAAGATAAATTTGTAATGGAATTATTAGACCATACTTCACTGATATGTGTTCAGTCTTTACCTCTCAAACTCTGCAGAGAAAAGAAGCAAAAAGTCAAGTTTTGAAAAATAACTTAAATAATGAACACCTCATATTGATGTTCAGTTTTCACATTTCATCATGTCACAAGGACAAACTGTGTTCCTAGCAAATGTCAAAGCAGGTTTACTTTATAAAACAATGTGTACAATTTTAAACACAACAATGAACAGTAGTCAGCCCATCATCTGGAAATGGAGAGAGTATGGTACAGCTGTTAACCTATAGCACCACATGCATGTCTACTTAACTAGAAAGGCCAGGAAAGAAGAGTGTTAATATAAGAAGCAACGAGAGACATTCTGTATTTTTGGAGGAGCTACACAGATCACAACAGGTGGCAACCAGAACGAAAACCTATGAGACATCCTTAAAAGGGTTTATGCCCTTATAGAAGAGTAGCAACATAAAAGGCTGTTAAAAGTTTAATCTAAAGTTTTTTCACATGTTATCTAAGCATGATTTTAAACAAGCCTGATACTGAGCTGGATGATTCTTTACTTTCTTAGATCTCTAAGTCATTTGCAGCCATTCATGAATTGGCCAAAACTGCCGGTGGTGTATTTTACTGTGAAATATGAGTAATGTTCAATTTCCAAATATTTAAACCTGTTAGAAACGGTTGATAAATCCGATAAACTCCTTTCAATTTTTTATTGGCAAAGAAAAAAAAAAAAATTTATTTTTAATTTTTCCTCCTTTTCAGATTTATAAAATTACATAAGGTTTATGGTAAAAACCTGACACAATTCTAAAAACTATAAAGGCCAAACATCAACAACTGTTATAAGGAAAATTTGCAAAGCTACAGAATTGAAAATGATCATATAATTCTAATATAAATGAACAAAAATGGGCCCTAAAGAAAAATTTAAAATATATCTTATTTTCCTCAAAAAACACTTCGGAAAAAAAAAATTATGGTGGTTATTCATCATCATTGTTTAATGGAAGCAAATTACTTCAAACCATATTTTGGCAAAATTGTCTTGGCAAACAAAAGAAACAACTGGTTTGACAAAACTGAAGAGAGAGTTATCTTAGATAATCTCCATAAATAACTCTCAGCATCCGGGGAAAAAAAAAAATGGGTTTCTCCCAGCCGTAGACCTAATCTTCTCCTTCAAGAGAGCCTATAGCCTGTTCTACACATGGATTCCTTTTTTGTACAGTGTTGATGGTAACAACAGGGCACTGTGTGGGAGAGACATGCTCTGGTGTGGAAAATACATTATGTCATGCTTATGAGCAATGGACTCAGAGAGCATTCCCACATACTGAAACAGTGATTAATGGAAGCAGAGATCCTTTATTTGGAGGTTTTAAGTGAGGGTTTTAGAAATATTTCCAAAATGTCTTTTTGAAAACAGATCTGATTTATTGTAACTGTATTTAAACATTTAAATCAGGGGCAATCACGCTTTAGCTTCACAACAGTTCTTATCTCATAAAAACTTTATTGGCTTCTAAACTGTAGAAAGTGATGGTGACAATTATACAGATATAAAATGAATGTCTCTGTAGGCATCATTAAAGTGAGAGTTGAAGTGGTTCTTTTTCTGACATAAAGTATGTTTTGGGATGTTCTGCATGTCAGATGATTATACTCACCTGATGACCGAGATGCTCTAACCTGTTATCTTTGTCCACGTTGAAGCTAACTGAGGAGTCACATGGGAATTATTGAAAACAGGCTGCACTCATAAGAATAAAGGATTTATTACAGGGAACCATTCGTTTCCTCTTAAATGTGCCTAGGCGATTCACCGTAGTAATAAATCAGTAATAGATTTGAATCATGTGTTGCATATTTTAACTGCCTGTTGATAGCTTTGTACATCTGCAAATGATCAGTAAAATCACTTTTGGAAGGCTCCACATCTGGGCCCTAATCATGTTTTGCCAACTTTCTTCCCGGAGCCCCAAACAGCTTTTTATTGTTAAAGATTTTCCCTCTGGTCTACTAAACAAGATCCATACAATGTAGAAATCAGGTTATTAGGTTAACCCTGCAGTCATGGTTTTTGACTGTAAGGGGAAATCTGAGAGCCAGCAGATAATATATAAATGAGGAGAGCATAAAAAAAGGCTGGGATTAAAACCAAGAACAGAAAAAGATAACATGGCTATTATTTTTTCCATTCCTTATATCAATTAAATGTTAGACACCTCTTCAAGTCAATATACGTTTATAAACATATTATAAAGGCACTATGGACAATTAACAATGACTCAGAATGACAGTTTTATTGTGTACAGGTGGCCTATGAGCAGGAAGATTATTACCACTCAGTTCACTGGTTGGAGGAGTCGGTGCGTCTCTTCAGGGGAGAAGGAGGAAAGTGGAGCCCTGAGAATGAAGGGACTTTAGAGGACGCTCTGGATCACCTCGCGTTTTCCCACTTTAAAGTAGAAGCAAAGAACAAATACAAAGTGGTCCAACATGGTTTATCTGATTAGACTGCCTTAAATCCCTCTGCTTTATTCAGACAGGAAATGTCTCCTATGCTTTGAGTTTGTCCCATGAGTTACTGCATCATGGTAAGTCTCTCATCCCATTCCACATGCAGTTATGACATAATTTTGTTGAAGAAGATAAAAGTGTCAGGGAAAGTTTCAAATTTACTAATTAGGGAATTTATGAAGTGGAAGGAAAACAAAAATATTAAATTTTAAGTTTTCCACAAATAAGAAGATTGCTTTTAATTTAAAAATGATAAGCATCACTCAAGAGATTTTAATTTAAGTTTTAAGAAAAAATATGAATCTTTTCCAGCCCTCCTTATAATTATTTAGCTGCCTTTTGCATTTTGATGCTGACATTTTGAAGATTTTTTTCTCCATTCCTTCAGATTGCTACAGTAAGTGTATGAAGGAGATCCTCTAGTGAGACCAGCAGTAAGCTTGGCCTTTATGTAAAGGACAAGGATGACTGATAATGATAAGGAAATATAGTAGAACTGTGTTTCTTTTGTGGAATCAGAGAAACTGGTCGGTTTATTTTAAATAAGTTGGATGTCTCTAAATATGGAAATCTGCATGCAGCCTTGCCTAAAAGATGTGAAGCTGTAATTTAACCAGACGTGTTTGTATTGTATTAAAGTACGTATACCACATATCCAACCCACATATTTGTATCTGTCAAAAAGTTAAGAAAACCGGGCCAATATCCTTCCAACTGACAGTTAATGTTAATGTGTGTGTGTTTTATTCTGCATATTATACAAATAAAACACATGAACATCTGTAGTTATCATGTGGTCAAATCTGGGGAAGAAGTTTCCAGAAGTTCAAATGTTTTTGCAAACATCGTATCTGTCATATGATACAATTTCAAGATGTATTAATGCCATTTAATGATTCTTCTCTCTGTGACTCCTTGCATCTATTTATTTATTCAGATCCAATGAATGGACGGGTGTTGCAGAATATTGAGAAATACGAGAAGCTGCTGGGTTCTGCTGGTGCATCAAGTGGGGGTAGTTTAAGAAGACCCAGCTCTACTTATTTAAGGACACAGGACACTTATGAGAGACTGTGTCTGACTCAAGGCTCGCAGGTTATTATGAAAATGTCTTCTTTAGATAATGTCTTGAAGTAACCTGACACTCATCTTACAGAGTCATTGCAGAAATATCAGCTTTTTTGCCATTTTGAATCTGCAGCAATCTTTTGAATATGCAGCAAACCTTTGCAGAAAAATGTTGGAGGGATAAACAACAAACAGACATAAAAAAACAGGAGGAAGAAGATTTAAAAGAAATATATTTCCTGAATTTTGCATTCAGGAAACGAGATAAGAATCATGGATTCATGCACTGAATAGGGTGACTCTGAGGCACAGTTAACTTGTTACACAACATGAGCTACAGCTGAGAACTGGGTCCCTCAAATATCAAGTATTATTTTGTCCAGTTTAGTTTGCAATTTATTTATTTCATCTTAAATTTATATAAAAGTATTTCCTGTTGTCATTAAAGCAGCTCCAGGTTTTGATTTTACATGTTATTGAATTACTCTTGCTTGTTCTTTTAAAAATGTCCCTACTGTATAACCTTCAAGATGTATCACTCTTGTGTTTTGCTGATTGTGCAGAGACTGATGATGAAATCTAAAGATTTTCCATGTTAAATCTTATTAATGGAATGCTGATGGTGGTTTTCCTCTTGCAGCCAATGCATTTTGAAAATCCCAACCTGTTCTGTGACCACTTCACCAACAACAACAGCCCTGCTCTGCTGCTGCAGCCTGTGAGACGAGAGGTGCTGAGCCTGCAGCCTCATGTTGTTCTGTACCATGACTTCATCACAGGCGCCGAGGCGGAGGACATCAAACAGCTTGCCCAGTCTGGTGTAGGTGATGGTACATTCGTAGGTTAAGGTTTCAGATAAAATTCTGCATTTGACGTTTATTTGTGTGACCAGGAAGCTTTTAATTAAATCTGAAATAGTGAGGTTGAGTTCATTTGTTTTTTTATTGTTTGCACAGTTTATAACCAATAAATAGAGGAGTTTTGGCCGGAAATCCTTTATATATTTTAATTATTGACTTGTGGTTATTTTTAAAGCCTCTGATTTGAAAATAAACATATTTTTTATTTTTATGTTGTTTTTATATAATTATTTGGCTTCATTCTCCATGCTCTCTATCTGATTAATTTGTTTGGGGTTTTTAATTTGAATTACATAATTTTTGCCTCTCACATGTTTGAAAAATTTAAAAGACCCAAAGGAGAAACTGGTATTCCCCTCCCTAAAGCAGTAGAGTTTTAGCCGTATTACTCCAGTAAAGCAAAGAATCTGAGCTTTGCCAGAAAACAGTGTGAGCCTCATGCAAAGATGACATTTCACAGAAACGTTGCTCCAAACTTACAGCCTGTTGACTCATTTTCCTCAGGAATCATTTGATGGGTTTACTTGAATGATGCTCTTTTATCCGCTGAGGTTTTGGCCTCTTGGAGTTTTCCATTCTTTGCATAGATGGAGAGCTGTTTTCATGTCATCATTACGTCAGCTTATAAGCTGATTGAAAACAGGCCTGTGACACTGAGCTGGATGGTTTTTACTTTCCTGGTGTCCTAAATGCAACATTAAACATCTGTTTTAGTCGCTATTTCATTAAAGCTTATGTAGTTCCTTAACATTATGAGAAAGTTTTATTGAAAGTGGACTGCCTTTGAATTTAGGGAATTTTAAAATGCTAAATTCAGTTTGTTGGATGTAAGGCTGCTATTAGACATTGGAGAACAGATTAAGTAGAAGGCAAAGCGACTGCCAAGAAGTTTCTGTGGTTTAAAGAAACAGAAACTCAGCCCAAAGATATGTGCAATGACAGAGTTTGTGGTAAATTTTTAACAACTTGACCAATAAAGAACAAGCAAAACCTATAATCATGTATTTTCTATCTCTCCCAACAAGTTGAAGAGATCTGTGGTGGCAAGTGGGAAGAAGCAGGAAACAGCAGATTATCGAATCAGCGAGAGGTACAAAACTATTAATGCTGCTGTTGGTGTGTGCATTGGACATAGAGAGCAATGAACTGAATAGATGTGTCCGATTTTTAGCGCGTGGCTGAAGGGCTCAGAGGGCTCCATCGTTGGAAGGTTGGACCAAAGGATTTCTGTGCTAACAGGTTTAAATGTGAAGCATCCATATGGCGAGTTCCTCCAGGTGGTGAATTATGGAATCGGTGGCCACTATGAACCTCATTTTGACCACGCTACAGTAAGACGATAATGTGTTATACTGACTGGTAAAGATATTCATAAACCTTACATTTGACCACATTTGTTGCATTACATCTGCAAACCTTAATTTATTTGAAATTAGATTTGATAAATCAACACAAAGTAGTACGTAGTTGTGGAGTGTGAATTGTAATTCTTTAATCCTTTACTAATCAAAATCTGAAAACTAATATATTTGTATTTGTCCACTTTTCTTTTATACGACTATCTTGGCCAAAGTTAAACCTGCATTAGAAGTCTTAATCGTTACCATTTCTTGGTATGATAGCTGAAGTGTGGTCAGATTCTATGGAGGGTTTTCATGTGCACGAAGTTTGGAGTCTTGCCAAAGATTTTTAATTGACCATGTGTCCTTCTACAAACTTCAAGGTTTCTCCATAACTTTCTCCCTGAACTGCCTGTGTGTTCCTTAAACCTTATGACGCTTTTGTTCACTACTGTTGTATAAAGCATTTAGGAGAAAAGCTTTATCTATACTAAAGGAAATATACACAAGTTTTCACTAAAACTTATCTTACTAACAAGGTTTTTTACTGATTTTATTCTGAGGTCTCAGAGTAAAAAGTGAGTAATTACACAGGAATCCACATATTTCAGATTTTCATCTCGCAAACGTTTTTAGAAATATAATTTTACCCACTTCACAAGATTGCCTTTTTTGCTATATGACTTGAAATCCCAATAAACTACATTTGTGATTTTAGCATAATAAAATGTAATAAGGTTTAAAGGGTATGTTCATTTTTCATGATTTCAATTGGTTTTTATATTTCTTTTACAATACAGTCGCCCACCAGTCCTGTTTTCAAGCTGAAAACTGGGAATCGTGTGGCAACCTTCATGATTTATGTGAGTGAAATTGACTTTTTCTCTATCAGATCAGATTCCAGGTCAGATTCCTGTTGGTTTTTATGTGGTATCAAGTTGATCCATGCTGCTCTCAGCAGCTTTTTTTATCTCTTGATCCTGTGCAGCTAGTCTCTTTTAATTAGTTTCTTTTTTATGAGGATAAACTGAGTTAAAAGAGGAATAATTTTTTTCTAAATCAGTTCTATGGGAAAAAATGTACTTGCATAAGATACACACACAAATACAAGACACTGTCTAAAGGAATGTTTTTTCTACAGCTCAGCTCAGTTGAAGCTGGTGGGTCCACAGCCTTCATATACGCCAACTTCAGTGTTCCAGTAGTAGCGGTAAACAATCCCAATATCTGAATATTCTTCTTAAACCTAAATGTTTCTTTTAATGCAACCTTGATTTATTTCCTTTTTTGTTCATTTTACCTAATCCGATAATGGGAAATATAAATTGAGAGATTTTTTTACCCACAGTCCTGCTTTCAAACTTTATGTTTTTTTGTTGTTGTTTTCAACAAGCATTTAAGATAACAATTGCTTGAACACTTGACAGATTTACCGTAAGTTTCAAAGTATCTTTAATTTTACCAACATGTTTCTTTTTTGTTGAAATATCATTAGCGTTTTTTTTTTTTCCCGAGTATGTAGTCCATCTTATAATTAGTATTTACGTAGAAAGGTGTGAAGTTTTATATTTGTTTGAAGTATGACCCTTTAGCTGATTGGATATGTTGGGATTTTATGTAATTTGGAACAGAACAAGTAAAAGCAATCAGATTTTTGCCTTAAAAAAGTTAAATGAAATTATTTTGGTTATTTGCTTGCTTAACTTTCTCATGCATTTGTTAACCTTAATATATAATACCTGTTTTATTTAGGCAGTACCAAATTACCTGGATAGAGCTTTCCAAAAACACACATTTTCAAACTGGGGAATGGTCTAACAGAAATATATACAGATTTAGAAAGAAAAGAAAACAGTAATAAACTAAAAATTGAAAGAAAAAGAAAGAAAAAATAAGGAAAGGATGGAAACAGAGACAAAATACACCTCATATATATATTTATGTATGTATATGCCAAGAAAAATAAAGGGAACAATCAAGTAACATACGTATATAGCGTTAGTTGTTCATTTTAAAATATGTTTTTTATGTTATTTGTATATTCCCAGAAGTCTGCCCTATTCTGGTGGAACCTCCACAGAAATGGACAGGGGGATGAAGACACCTTGCATGCTGGTTGCCCAGTGCTCATTGGTGATAAATGGGGTCAGTATCTGTTTCCTCTTATTAGACTTTATTAAAAGCCACCAAAAAGGGATGTGCTTTCCTAAATATCAATCTTATTTTTTTATATATAACAGCTGGACTCCATTTGTGTTTCATTTTGAGTTTAGAGATATCGCCGCCTACAGTTCAGGCTCTAAGGGTTTATCTTAGGAAGTGAACATCTGCTGCTGGTTGGCTCAGAAAACGAAATATGTTTTGCAGACTAATCAAACCAACAGATGCATCATAATAATCAGGAAGCAGCTGCAGAAGAAGTTGCTTTTTATCACAGCAATTTTAATGTGAAAGAAGGTTGGAATGCAAGTTGTCTTTTATTGAAACTATTTTTGAATAGGTTACAAAAAACAAGGCAAGAAATCCTTTATCAATGCTGTTTCTGCCGATTAATAACAGTAATTGGATTTTTTGAGTCGTTTGACCACCATTTTGCTGTATTTTTGTGCTGTAGTAGCCAACAAATGGATCCACGAGTACGGCCAAGAATTTCAGCATCGCTGCAGCCTGAATCCTAAAGAGTGAAAGGGACAAACTGATCCTGTGAAGAAGAAGCCTTGACCACCGTCAGGCACATTGGCAAAGAGAGAAGAGGCAACAGCCAAGGTGTGTGTTTGGAATGGAGGGATAACTTGAATCTTTGATTGGTGCCCAGGGCCCCAGGGAACCTGGGCACTCCTGCAGTGGACACTGAGGTGGAAAAGGAATGAGGTATTTGGAAATCAGCCTACGGAGGCCAAATATTTCCACTTGGCAATTCCTCGCAATGGAGAAATATTTACATTTAGATGGAAATGCTAGCAGAAGCTCATGCAGGATATTTGATCTGCAGAGGACTGTCAATTATTTCAGGGGGATCAGATTAAACAGCTGTTCATCCTAACACTGGTAACAAAGCTAAGCCTTAGTTTAACGACTCACTCACCGGGATTTGTTTGTTTAGTTCTGCATGATAGAACAATGTTGCTATTCCTACTGTTTTTGACTCAGAATGATGTAGAAACCAAAAAAAAATAAACTGTTACCGGTAATTCCACTTTTTAATTTGCCTCAGAAACTAATCGTTTTTGATTAAGAGTCTGGAGGATTCTGCATCTTTTTGAACTTACACACATCATCAACATATTGTTTTAGACAGCTGTCAAAATACTTCACAGTACGGCTGATATAATTATGGAGTACTTTGAGTTTTGGTCAGTTATAAACAGTCATAAAACCCACCTCATAAGCATCAGACCCTTCTAAAGGAAAATGTTGTGGGAATGTCCCGCTGCGTGATGGGCTAAGATCTTAACTTAATACTTTTTCTTTCCCACAGGGACACGCATTTTTTTTTCCAGCTGAGGTAGTCTTTCCAGCCACAGACAGAAACACAGAACATATATGAATAGAGCATGTATTGGATCTCTATTGCACATTCCTGTGCACACACTGAGACCAAGATATTCCCATAGAGCTGTTAGAGAGAAAGGTTGCTCTTTCTTGTTTCACTGTGGAACCTATCAACAAGTTTTTACGATTAAATATGCAATTCTGATGCATCAGATAATTGTATTGAGTAAAAACTAATTCTGATTATACCGACAGCTCATATGTCCTTTTTTTTTTTTATTTGAATTAGACCTGCTGAAAGTTTATCCAGTCTGCAAACACATAATGAGAGAGTTTGGAAAATTAAAGTCACCGATGTAACCTTATTATTCTACTTTTTCCTAAATGCAGCTCTCACTGTTACCACAGCAAACACAGAGGGACTCTCAATGGCTTTTCAAACTGCCTAAAACACCTGAGTAGATGTTTGGCATTCTGCAAGAAACTGTCAAAAACAAACAGAAAAAAACTGTTTAAAGTGAATTGGGGGGGAAAAAATGGGGGATTTGTTGTTGCATTTAACTAATAAGTTATTCTCATTTGAGTTAACATCAGTAAGGGATAAAAAAAGAACTTTAAAGTCAATAATAGAGTTTTGTGCATTTGGTCAGTTTTAGAGAAACCATAGGATCAGTGCTTCCCTCTGCTGGTGTTAAAATATAACAGACAAGAGTCTTAAGTGATGGATTATTTTTAAAATAATTGTTCATATACTAACGACTGTAAAGAAAATAATTCAGTTTTTTTTCTGTCTGAAATAAAGAACCTACCAATTTAAATATGTTTTGTTTTTTGTTCTTTTATTTTGTTCTTTCTTTTCTTCTTTTTTCTTTTTAAATCAAGACTATCCACATTAGGATGTTTTAAATGCTTCCTCTGAATCTGTGAAGGGGCTATACAACAATTCCAAGTGTAACATCTTACATTTATTTACAATCAGCTGATGCATCTCTTTATCATGATCATTTTGACAGGAGAGCCCGTGAAAATGGTGAAAAGTAACACTTCTGAGATACTGGTGATCTAATTAATCAATACAAACACACACACATAATATCAGAAAAGAAAGAAAGAAAGAAAGAAAGAAAGAAAGAA